CTCTGCTTTCCATTAACCCGTGCTTGATGATGCTGAAGAGAAGCAGATAACAGATCAAGCAGTCAAAGAATGGCTTGATGAACTGAAAGATGCAGTTTACATTGCAGAGGACCTCGTGGATGAAATCGCCTTTGAAGCTTCACGGTGCTTGTTGGAAGCTCAAGACAAAGCAGATTCAAGCCAGGTACGGAGTTTCCTTGCATCTATTCCCACTTCAATTGACAAGGAGTTAGAATCACGTTTAGACGAGACACTTGGAACACTAGAGTATATGGCTAACCAGAAGGATGTACTCAGTTTGAGAGGTGTTGATCGAAAACTAAGTACAAGTTTTCCAACGACTTCTCTGGTTGATGATTCTTACGTATTTGGTAGAGATAAGGAGAAAGAGGCAATCATTAATTTATTGCTCTCTGATGAAGCAAGCTGCGGCAAGATAGGTGTGGTTGCTATCGTGGGCATGGGTGGTGTTGGCAAGACCACCCTGGCTCAGCTGGCATACAACGATTGTAGAGTGAATAATTGTTTTGACATCAAATTCTGGGTATGTGTTTCACAAGAATTTGATATATTTAGGATTACTAAAACAGTGCTTGAGACAATTTCTCCAGGGATTGTGGATATCAAGGATCTTAATCTGCTTCAAGTTAAACTGAATGAGACTTTGAAAGGGAAGAAATTTCTTATTGTTCTTGATGATGTTTGGAATGAGAATTATGATAACTGGGACTCCTTAAGGAAACCTTTCTCATCTGGAGCTCAAGGAAGTAAGATCATCGTGACAACACGAAATGAAGGTGTTGCATCAATGATGCAAACTATTCCCACTCGCCATCTAAAGCAATTATCAGAAAATGATTCATGGCTGTTATTTGTGAAACATGCCTTCGACAACAGAGATTCAGAAGCATATCCGAATCTTGAAGCAGTTGGCAGGCAAATTGTCAAGAAGTGCAAAGGCTTGCCTCTAGCTGTGAAGACACTAGGCGGTCTACTGCGTTCCAAACAAAGTCTCGAGGAATGGAATGAGATTTTTGAAAGCAACATCTGGGATTTACCAGATGATACAAGCAACATTCTTCCAGCTCTGAGATTGAGCTATCTTTTTCTCTCATCAAATCTAAAGCAGTGTTTTGCTTACTGTGCGATATTCCCCAAGGACTACGAGTTCAATAAGGAGCAATTAATATTAATGTGGATGGCAGAAGATCTTTTACATCGGCCTAAAGGAAAGAAGAAGATGGAAGATATAGGGGATGAGTACTTCAATCATCTGACATCGAGGTCCTTTTTTCAAAAATCAACTCGAGATAAATCTCAATTCATTATGCATGACCTTATTCATGATTTGGCTAAATCTGTGTCAGGGGAATTCTGTCATAGTTTTGAGAGTGAACCCTCACATAAAGTTGGCAGGAAGACTAGATATAAATCTTTTTCGAGGGAATATCATGATCATGATAAGTTAAAGAAACTTGAGACATTTTACGAAGCCAAGTACTTACGCACCCTCCTTCCGTTTTCTTCATTGTTATATAAGTGCAGTTTTATTAAGGTACCTAATGACTTGTGGCAGAAGCTTAGGTACCTACGTGTTCTCTGTCTGTCTCATTGTGACGTCAAAAAGTTGCCTGATTCAGTTGGAAACCTGAAACATCTACGATATTTTGACCTCTCCGGCACTCTAATTGAAAGTCTTCCCAGCACAGTCTGTACTTTGTTCAACTTGCAGACATTATTATTGTTAAATTGCTATTGCCTCATTGAGTTGCCAGCTAACATTGGAAGATTAATCAATTTGCGTCATCTATATATTAGCAGCACTAAGTTGGAAAAGCTTCCTCTAGAAATGAATAAACTGAAAAACCTCCAAACATTAAGTAATTTTGTATTGGGAAATGGTATTGGCTTTGGGATGGGGGACCTAGGAGTTCTTCAGGATCTCCATGGAGAACTTACCATTTCTGGGTTGCAGAATATTGTCCATGTGCAGGATGCATCAGTGGCCAAGTTGAAAGATAAGAAGTACATTAAGAAGCTGTCTCTGGAATGGAGTGGTTGTACAAGCGATTCACAAATTGCTAGAGAGGTTCTGGACCAGCTTCAGCCTCATGGAAACCTGCAAGAACTCGTCCTTGCAAATTATGGGGGTACGAGATGTCCAGATTGGCTGGGAGCTCAGTCATTACCTAATTTAGTATCTCTTTATCTGTGGGACTGTGATTTTTGTGTAATCTTGCCACCACTTGGGCAACTACCTTCCCTCAAAGGACTCCATATCAGCGGATTGAAGAGTGTGGTTTCTGTTGGCCCCGAGTTTTATGGAAATTGTTCTTTTAGAATTCAATCATTTCAATGCCTGGAAATTTTGGAGTTTTCGTGCATGGAACAATGGCAACATTGGTTCTTTCCTGATGGAGAACGTGATAAGGGCGTTTTCCCTCGTCTAAGGGAGCTTTACATAAAGAGTTGTGGCAACCTCAAAGGAGATATTCCCTTAAATCTTCCATTATTGAAAAAGCTTGTAATTAATAAATGTGGGAAGCTTGGGGCCTCACTTCTAACCACTCCAACTATGTGTGAATTTGAAATATTCCAGCATGAGAAATTTCGGCTCCCAAGCAACTGCTGCTACGAATTCCTCACGGATTTGACAATATGTTGGAGTTTGAAGTCATTTCCATTTGACTTGTTTCCCAACCTCGGTATTCTTGTACTCCGCAGTTGCAAGAAGCTTGAATCCTTAACGTTTTCGAAGAGCAGCAGTTTCCGTGAACTTAAATCACTAACGCATATAGAAATAGAAGAGTGCCCCAATTTTGTTTCTTTTCCTGCTGGGGAATTGCCTGCTCCCAATCTGAAATATCTTACTCTCAAGAACTGCTGTAAATTGAAGTCACTGCCTGAAAGAATGCACAGCCTACCGTCTCTTACCTATTTGCGGCTATTGAATTGCCCGGATATTGATTCATTTCCAAGAGGAGGCCTTCCCTTCTGTTTGACTTGTATTACGATAAATCATTGTGACAAACTTGTTGAGCAGCGAATGAAGTGGAATTTACAAAGGCTCACCCATCTCAGGTACTTGATGATCTGTTCTAAATTCGAGGGTCTGGAGTCTTTTCCAGATGAAGGACTGTTTCCCCCATATCTAGAACATCTCTTTTTATATCAGAATGTCCGAATCTGAGGAACCTGGATGGCTTGGTGCTCGGGAAGTTCACATTTCTTCTACTATTGCAGATCGAGTCTTGCCCTGAGATTCAACGGTTGCCTGAAGAGGGACTACCGACCTCTCTTAGATCTTTAATTATAAATAATTGCCCAAATTTAGAAAAACGGTGCCATAGAGAGGAGGGTGAAGATTGGCAAAAGATTGCTCGCAGACCTGAACTAGATATTATTCGTTAATATTTTTGTGTGATTATATATTTCTTTATGTTCAACATGTATTTACAAGTAGCTTTAGTAAGTCACAATGTCTCTGTACGGTGGCTTATAACTTCAATGATATTATAACCATTTGGTTTTCCAGACTGTTGGGCGATCAATGATTATAGTTGAAACCACTATAAGCTTGCCGCGATGCAGTTTCCGGATACTCTGCTGGACATCATAAGCTGTTATTTGTTAAAATATTAGTTAATTAAATTCTTGAAAAATAGAAGAATATGAAAGAAAGTGAAGAGGAAAAATTGCAGAAAAAATAAGAGTTTTTTGCAGGGAAAATATATATATATATATTTTTACATACATTTTTCATTAATTTCATATAAATATATACATACAAAATATAGGAAAAAATTTATATATTTCAACTAATCCTACCAACTCTGATACATATCATAATTTAAGTATAAAGATATGGAGCTGAACAAAAACATGGAGCTTCATTCCTATTTGACAGTTGTTATCAACATCTGTCAATACCAAAAGGAAACAGTAAACATAAAGTTTGAAGAAAATAATATCAACTCTTTGTTCCATTGAAAACTCAATTTTCAACACTTCTTGAGTTTTATATTGAACAAACCAAGTTTAACTCTTAAATATTTAAATTTACACTTAGACAGAGTTTTGGTCAATATATCAGCAACTTGATTATTTGAATTGTAATATACCAAATGAACTTCACCATTCTTCTCAGTTTCACGAAGAAAATGATATTTCATTTTAATATGTTTTTTTCTTCCATGTTGAACCGGCTTATTTGCAATTACAATAGCAAATTTATTATCCACATAAATAACAATTGGAACCCCCTGTACCATATTAAATTCATTCAAAAATTTTCTGAACCATACAATCTGGTTTGCTGCTGCAGCTACTACTATATATTCAACCTCAACAGTGGACTGAGCTACAACCTCCTCCTTCTTTGAATTCCAAACAAAAACACTTAACCTAAATGAAAAAACAAATGCTGAAGTACTCTTGCAATCATCTGAATTTTCTGCCCAATCACTATCAGAATATCCTTGCAACGCACCACTTTCTTCTCTTGAATACCAAATACCATAACCAACAGTTCCTTTTAAATATTTCAGCACCATTTTTGCTGCTCCAATGTGCTTTTCACTAGGTGAATTCATAAATCTTTATAACTAACTAGCTGAGAACATTAAATCTGGCCTGGTAGCAATCAAATAAAGGAGTTTTCCAATCAAACTTCTGTAAAAACTTACATTTACTTTCTCAGCTTGATCAAACTTTGACAGTTTTTTACCTGTAGAAAGTGGTATGGTAGTTGACTTGCAATTCTCTATTTTAAAGCTTTTTAGAACATCCCATGCATACTTTCTTTGAGAAAAAAAAATTCTATCATCAAGTTGCCTGACCTCCGTACCAAGGAAACAAGTTATTTCTCCAAGATCCGACATCTCAAACTCTGTCATTATATGTTGTTTAAATTGCATCAGCAGCTTTATACTCCTCCTGTCACCAACAAATCATTAACATATATTGACACAACAAGTTGATTGTTGTCATCAACGCCCTTGACATAAAGTGTTGCTTCAGTTTTCTCTTCTTAAAACCTATGCTGATTAAATGTGAATCAATTATGGTGTACCAAGTTCTAGGAGCTTGCTTAAGCCCATATAAGGCATTTTAAGTTTATACACATAATCACCATCTTCAAAAACCTAAAAACCTTGTGGTTGTTCCACATAAATGTCTTCTTCCAAGACTCCATTTAAAAAATTTGACTTCACATCTAAATGAAACAGCTTCCAATTTTTCTTTGTTGCAAGAGCTACAAGCAACTTTATTGTTTCATGTCTTGTGACTGGTGCAAAAGTATCACCAAAATCAACTCCTGCAAGTTGAACCTATTCCTTCACCACAAGTCTAGCTTTATATTTGAAGACTGACCCATCAACATTAAACTTAATTCTGTAGACCCATTTTACCCGTATCACATTCTTGTTTAGAGGTCTTGATGTGAGCTTCCATGTTTCTTACAAATTGTGTCAAACTTCACCTGCATAGCCATTTTCCATTCAGGATACTTCAAGGCTTCATCAAAGTTAGATGGCTCTATAACTGCTAAGTTGCATCTCTCATAAATTTCAGCAAGTGATTTTATTTTCTTGGTAGGAGTATCAGTAGTAAGATCTGAATCAACATCATGGTCTCTTTGTTCAAGTTGAACAGAATTACTCGGACCCAATGTAAACTCGAAAGCAACTGAGCATTCCTCAATTTTCTTTATTTTAACTTGCTTCTCTCCCACTCCCAACAAGTTTGTTCATCAAATCTTACATCCCTACTAACATATATTTTATCAAAATGCACATCATAAATTCTATAACATTTGATCTGTCTTACATATCCCAAGAATATGCCAATTTGAACTCTGTCATCCAACTTGGTCCTCTTCACAAAAGGAACAAGTGTATAGCAAATTGAACCAAAGATTCTCAAGTGCTTTGCTGAAGGCTTTGAACCACTCCATGCCTTAATTGGAGTGAAGTCGCTTAAGTAGATAAACTGAAGTAAATATAGCTTCAGCCCAAAAACTTTTAGGCAACTTCTTCTCTGACATCAAGCATCTGGCCATCTCCATTACTGTCATATTCTTTTTTTTTTTAGACTCCATTCTACTCAGGTAAATAAGCAACAGTAAATTGTTGCAATATATCACAATCATCACAAAATTTTCTGAACTCAGCTGAAATATATTCACTGCCATTATCAGACCTTAAATTTGCTATCTCACATCCACTTTGCTTTTCTATATATTATTTAAATTTTTTAAACACAGAAAGCACCTGACCCTTGCTTGAGAGAAAGTAAACCCATGTTATCCTTATAAAATCATTTATAAATAAAATAAAATATTTATTACAACTTAAAGAAGAAACACTCATAGGCCCACCGACATCATAATGGATTATATCAAGTTTCTTGTTGCATGAATAACTCCACTAGTTGAAAAACCAGTCCTTTGCATTTTACCATACTGACAAGCTGCAGATACTTCTTCTCCACCAGAAACAGGCATATCACTCACCATACCATTTTTCTGCATCAACTTTATTGCATCAATGTGATAGTGACCAAAACATTTATGCCACAGCCATGTTTCATCATTTTTAATAGACAAGTCAATTTGATTCACATGCTTCAAACATAAAATATAACTATCATCAACCTTCTTAACTCTCACAACCTCAATATTTGCAGCATCATATACATAGCAGTAATCATTTCTAAATAAAATTAAATATCCTTTGTTGCATCTGAGCCACACTCAATAAATTTTGCTCTAAATCAGGAATAAATAAGACATCAGTAATAAATTTTGTACCTTATTTATTGTGAATTGGCACTGAACCTTTGCCTTGAACTCTCATTTTCAAATTTCACTTTGGTTCTGCAGTTGAAATCTAGACTAGAAAATAATCTCCAATCTCTAGTCATGTAGTTTGTACAGTCACTGTCAATATACCACATATCAACATCAGGTACATAAAGATTTTGAGTAACTATAAATAAATGGCTCTTCTATTGCATATAATTCTCCACAAAATTAGTTTGTTGTTGGTTAGTAGATTGTTTTTGTTGCTGTTGTGAATTCTGTGATTTTTTATTTCTTTTCCAACAAACTTTTGCAATGTGTCCTATCTTTTTATAAACTGTACATTGCTAATTCTTCCAGTATTTACTCTCCAAATGCCCACTTGTAACGGCCCCGGAAATTAAAATGAAATGTATATTAAAAATATCAAATGCGGAAGCGAAGTCAAAAATTCGATTAACATCCCTTACACTAAAACCAAAAACGTGCTTACAATATAAAAAATCAAACTACCTAAAGGAGAAACTTGAAAGTAAAAGCTACGAATATGACTATGGAGTCTTTAGGCGTCCCCTTCGTCGTCCTCCTGCAGAACCGGCTCGGGAACAATGTCTTCCTGATCTGAAATGATTAAATAAGGAATGAACTACACTAGCCCAGTAAAGACATCACGATATCTCACCGTCACGGAGGTAAAGGTGGGTAGAAAACACAAAAAGACCAATGGAGCATAATTTACAACAAATCCTTTTATCAATAATAAAACCTTTACCATTCACTCACCTCGGTGAAATTCATAAAAATAATATACGAAAGCAATAACATCATCATCATCATGAAATCATATATAAACTGTATAACATAATACTTACCAAGCCTTTCGTAATTCAATCGTTATACAATATATTTTCCTCATTTACCAGCCCACTAGTATCCATGGGGATCCATAGGGGTCCCGCTACCCGTTAACCCTTAACACTTGAAATCATATTTCATGGCCGTCCCCATACCCCGTCCGGTATGGGCGCCAAAACTATAAACCTCATTACCCCGTCCGGTATGAGGGTGAAACAGGCCGTCCCCATACCCCGTCCGGTATGGGCGCCAAAACACATAAGATCTCCATACCCCGTCCGGTATGGAAGACCACAATCCCGGTAGGGTTCCCTACGGACCCGGTCCGTCCACCATCTCCCAGGATATCTAGTCAGGCTGACCACATTATACAATTACTCATTTACATAATCTATCATTCTCTTTTCCCTCAGTCAGCATCATCAATCTA